TTTCTGTGTCTCATGCTTTCAACTTTTCCTTCATTTGGGACCCATGGTTTAAAGGCATGATTCTTGCTGAACATTATGTGATGCCAAACTTTGTTGATAAATGTGTGAAAGATTTTATTACTAATGATACTTGGAATCTTCCCCCTAATACTCCTTATGTCCTTTCTGTTGCAATTGCGACTTTGGATCTCAATGATGTGTCTGGTATCCTTTGGAATGGATCCCCCAACTAGACTTTTAAGGCCTTCATTGAGCATTTTCATTCTCATCTATTTAAGGTTGAATGGTTTGGGTCCATTTGGCACAAAAAGCATTCCCTTAGGTATGCTTGCTTCTCCTAGATGGCTTTGATTGGGAAACTTAAAACAGCTAACAACTTACTTTTTAGGGGTATCCAAGTAAATCCGTAGTGCTCCATTTGTTTTAGCTTGGCTGAGAGCCACATTCACTTGTTTTTTGAGTGTGACTTCTCTTTCAACATTCTCAAATTCATTCTACCTGACTTTAATGGTTTTCTGCTGAGACCAAATTTAATTCAGGTTTTTGAATTTATTAGCCAACATGAGTCTTATAGTAGAAATGAGAAGGATTTTTGCTACTTAACTGTGAGCTGTATTGTGTATCATACTTGGTGCGAGAGAAACAGTCGCGGCTTCTCCAATCTGAGGACTAATTCAGTCAAATTGATTTGCAACATCACTGCTGCCTTACGATTTAAAATTTCTAAATGGAAAAACAAAGACAAGCTTTTGTTATGGTTTACGGGTATTTAATCTTACAGTTTTTCTTGTTTTTCTTATGGCTATGTTGGATTTTCTTCATGGTGGAGAGTTCTTCTGGTTACTGCTGCTGCAACGGGTTTTTTGGACTTTTGGGAGCTCTGGTAGCTCCAGCTTTTACTTCCAATTTTGTTTCAGACCTGGGAAGAACATTTTGGGATTGTGGTTGCTTCTCTCTTTCAGCCAAGTCCAGTTCATTTTTAGAAGAACATGGTGCTCATTTCTTGGGTTTACTGATATGGCATTTTTGGCTCCGTGGGCTATTATTACTGGGTACATTTCTACAATCTGACAATGATGTGCAGGACCAGTTCCTTATGGCTGCTCTGGACAGCCTGTGTGGCAATCGGGCACGTATTTATCTTGCTGGTTGGAGGCTCTATGATGGCCTCCAACTTGTTCTATGGCAACCGGAGCCTCTGCCTCGACGTCGTGGGTTATCAACTGATGGTTTTTTCTGATGAATGGTTATGGTCCTTTTTTTTACTGAGACTTATAGATTGTAATGTCCCTTTGTATTAGCCTTGTTTACGGTTATTGCCGTTTGTTCTTGTTGCTGTTTTATTCTTCCTTACAGGTTACTTGTATTTGTAATTGTAACTGATTTTTGTCTTTAATACATGGGCTATTTTTTTGCCCCGGGTTTACCCAAAAAAAAAATGAATTCAAATAAAATATATTCAAATTTTTAAAAAATATTTCTATTTAAATAAAAAAATTTAATTCATGCGGTTGTTGTGATAAAAAATACGTCAAATTTTTTTAAGTATTTTGTAAAGTAACTTAATTTATTTTTAAAAAAATAAAAATGATACCAAGTAAGCCTAAGGATACGCAGGATCAAGTTGGTATATATATAGTGTTCGCAATATGACCTTAAATCATCTATTTTTTAAACATTTCTGAATTAAAAAAAAATTCAGTAGTCTCTTATTATAAGGGGCTGCATGCTTGAAAGTAAGTGGTTGTAAAATATTTATTTTGTAGGAGTTTAAAAAAAATTAATGTTTAGTAGGATGAAAAAGAAATGTAATGGAAAGTATTTTTTTTTTTTTTTTGGGAAATTTTGGGGCCTAAGCCCATATCATTGATGTAAAAAGATTACAGAATAATAGACAAAAAACAAGAGAGAATACAAAAAAGCCCCAAAAGGCCAAAACTATCAGCCAAGCTGCTAAAGAAAAGAAAAGCCAAAAATAAAGATACATAATACAAAATTCTAAGGACTCAGTAAGCAATCAGCAATTAGATCACCGAGACTACCAAAAACAGACGGAATGTCGAGCTCCCCTGGTTGCCAAACGAAGGGGAGGACCGAGACCGTCCAAGGGGAGAAGAGGAAGATTGCATTCATCATTGTCCTTAAAAAACCCAAGCAGCCCATGGTTGCCAAAACTGACCATCCATGGACACCAGCATACCTTCCACAGCCAAAAGGAAAAGATCAAGAGAACAGTAACTGTTGCGTGAGGAAGCATTTTTTCTTGAAAGTCTTAAGAAAAACAGCCGTTTTGATCTTAGAAGTGATGGTAGTAAGGCAATCAATGTTGTTTCCAAACAGTCTATCATTGCGGGCTCTCCAAGTATAGTAAACAATAGCAAATATTAATAAGAAGCCAAAGTTTTTCCTATTAATATCAGTCTCATGAACGTCCAGATCATTAAAAACTTGCCAAAGGTTTGGACGGAGCAGCATAGAATCCATTCTAGGCAGAAAATACTTCAGGATATTGAATGTAAAATTACATTCAAAAAGCAAATGGTTTTTTGTTTCCCTTTCCGCCTTACAGAAAACACAGAGGGGCGTGACAGAAATTCCCCTAACAGCTAAAACATCAGCTGTCTTAAGCCCGTTCTTGAAAGCAAACCAAGTAAAAATAGCAAACCGCAAAGAGTAGTGTTTATGCCACACAAATTTGTACCAGGGAGCCTCCTCAAACTCAACATAAAACTGTTTTACAAAGTTGTGAAAAGAAGGTTTAGCAGATTTAGTCCAAAAACATTCCTGAGAAGAGTTGCAAATAGTAACAGTTTTGATAATATTAGCCAGAGGTGCTGGAAGATTATGGGGGAGGTTCCAGTTACTGGAATTGATGAATTTGCTGACATCCAAATTGGTTTTGGGAATAGGAAAATCCCAATTTCCTTGTCTAAGCCTCTCAGCAACCGACATCCCCAAACACCAAGGATCCCAATAAAAGGAAAGGTGACTGGTAGTAATAATTTTGAAGTTGAGAGAGTGCTGCAGAGATTTAGCCACATCACAAAGAGCTTTCCAGTAGATAGAGCATTTAGAATTACCAAAATTCCAAAAAGAGCCATATGTAGCTTTCCACCAGTTGTTTAAAAGGCTATTGCAATTGAAAAACCTCCAAATCACATTACAGCCAAAACCATAAAAAAGAGAGTCAATAGAATGTATCCCAAGGCCACCATTATTGTAGGGTTTGCAAGTATCTTTCCAAGAAATCATGTGTAACCCTCTTTTATGAATGTCCCCATAGAATAAAAACCTGGAGCAAAGTTTTTTGATGGTTTTAGCACAAGTTTTAGGAATGACAGTCCCCCGAACCCAATAAGCCAAAATGTTATTGATAGTATATTTGAGGTATTGCAGCCTACCAGCAATAGTGAGGGATCTGGCCTTCCAGCCCTCTAAACAACCCGAAATACGATCTAAAAGAGGCTGAAAATCGCAGATTTTCAGTCTCTTATGGAAAATAGGTATGCCCAGGTATTTAACAGGCACATCGGAGATAGGGATATTCAGAATATTGCACAAATTCTCAGCATCAACTCCATGCTTAGATAAAAGAAATCTGCTTTTGGTGCTATTAACCTGTAAACCCGATATGCCAGCAAACTTCTCAAGAATGTGATTAAGACAGTGAGCATTTTGGTGCTATTAACCTGTAATGGAAAGTATTTTAAATGTAATGCAAATTATTTTATTTTATATTTAATGTGAAGTACACTCGCCAAATTTTGATTGAAAAAAGCTTTCATCTTAATCAAGTTTTCTTTTCACTACCCTCGCCGGCCACCCCCCACCCATCATTGGCCGTTGATAGTGAACACGGCCACCGCCCACCCCTAGTTGCTTCCTGCCGAACACCACCCGCCACTTTGCCCACGGACCACCACCATCTCCCACAACAGCGGCCGGCCACCACTATTGCCACCGGCCAATTGCTACTATCAGATGCCACCACCATTTTAGATATTACACTACATTTATTTTATTTAAAGTTAAAAAAATAATAATATTTTCTATATATTCCTTTTACACTCTTCCAAAAAATTTTAAAATATTTCGAATATATTACATTTTACTTACACTGAATCTTTTTACTCTTGTCTTTTTTGGCAAATCAAATTGCTCCTAAATAAATTTGGCGCATTGCACATGTGCTCAAGTAGAGGATCAAACAGGCCTTTGTCTCATCTATAACTATGGGTGTTAAAATGAGGTTTTGAGTTGGGCTCAGGTCCAATATGAGTTTGACCCAACTTCAAAACATCTAACCTAAACCAATCCACCCGGGGAGAGCGGGCGAGTGCAGCATGAGTGAGCGGAGTGCAGCTGAGGGTGTGAGGCCACAAGGGTGAGTGAGCAAGGCCGCGTGCGAGCTCAACACGAGGGGCCAAGGGGCGAGTGCGAGCGCAGCGTAAGCGTGGGTGCAATTGTGCGAGGGCAGGTGCTAGGCACTAAGCGCAATACAAGTGGGCACGTGGTTAATTGCACTGGTGCGAGCAACGAGCGTAGCGTGAGCACCAGGGGCAAGGGCACGAGGTTCAAAGGCAGATAGGATGCGGGCCAAATGGTTTAACTCGAACCCGACCCGATATCTTAATCAAGTCGAAAATTTAAATCTCAAATTGACTCATTTATTAAATGTATCGACTTGAATTCAAAATTTTTGAGTGGGATATGAGTTCAATTTTGAAATAGTGTGATATACTAGAAAAATTATTACATATAAACACCGTAGGCCAATCAAAACCCACGTCACCTAATACACAACAGTATATTTGTCCATTACACATGTGTAGTATTGATCTAGTGCATAGCTATGTACACAACTGTAATAATTATGGATATGTTGACACCCATATATAGAACCAGCATCGACCAGCACGAGGCCAATAATTAAGAATGCGCATTCCGATCGTGTCAATTATTTTATTACAGAAATTAAAGTCGACCAATAATGAATGGTTGAGAGTAGACACTGTCAAAAAATCTCCTCATAAACCAAGTTGGCCATCAGACATGCTCAGCAAAACTAAGAAGCAACAAGTGCTAATAGAAAAAAATCACGGAGAGAGCTCTCTACAGAGCTTGGGAGAGAGAGATATGGACGCTTCGCTTGTATCAGCGAAACCCCATGCCGTGTGCGTCCCATTCCCGGCGCAAGGCCACATGAACCCCGTACTAAAGTTGGCCAAAGTCCTCCACGCCCAAGGCTTCCACATCACTTTCGTCCTAACCGAATTCAACTACCGTCGCCTGGTTCGTTCGCAGGGCCCAGAGGCTGTTCAGGGACTTGACAACTTCCGCTTCGCTTCCATCCCCGACGGCCTCCCCTTCTCCGACGAAGATGCTACACAGAACATCGCTGATCTCTGCGAATCCGTAATGACGAACTGTCTCAGTCCCTTTCTTCGCCTCCTTGCCAAGCTCAATGAAGAGGCTTCGTCGGGTGCGCCACCAGTCACTTGCATCGTTTCGGATGGCGCGATGAGTTTCACCCTTGACGCAGCCCGCGAGCTCGGCGTCCCAGAGATCCTTTTCTGGACCACCAGCGCCTGCGGCTTCCTTGCCTACCTCCATTTCCAGCAGCTCGTTGATCGCGGCCTTGTTCCTCTAAAAGGTAAACTAGTAGTTCTTATTCGCGAGATTTGTTTTTTATCTTTTGCATTGTGGAGTGCTTTGCCTATCAACAAAAGATCAACAGGTAAGACAAAAATAAAACCATGATAAGTTTTTTTCTTAAGCCAAATTATTACATTTGGCATATTTGAATATTTTTCTTAATAGGTCTACTCAATTTTAAACATTATCATATAATTATTTCTACTCTCAATTATCGTCCTCTCACATATTTCGGATCAACCGTCGTCGGACCACCTTCACCGTAACAGCCCATGTGCAAAACAAGATCGGAACCGAGCTGGAATAAGCAAGAAGAGCCGCAAAACAGAGCACTCTCAGCCACATATTCTTTAATTATCAATTTACAGCCACATGTTACATGCCAGCTATGTACAGTAAACTCTATAAATAGCCATGTAATCACTGATGTAATAGATCAATGAATTAAGAGTGAAATTCAGAAAGAATTACAACGTACCTTAGTTCAATTCTCATTTGAACTTCCTTCTTGCCGGACTTCCGTGCGACCATCATTGAACCACCATTGATGGGTAAAAAATGCAAGAGAGCTCTTTAACTCTCTTAACTCTTGAATCTCCTCCTACGAAGAGAATAAGATATAATTTAATAAATTTATAGTCTTTTAGAGATTACAATTTGATAAATTTGACTAAAATTCAAAGCACTCCATTGTATTGTCTATATTGATCTCATTGAGTGTAAATTGTTTATCAAATATTTTGCCTTAGTGACATCATGATCGAGCAATCTTTGGCTCGTTGGATTTGTTTTGTGGAGCAGTTTGATTTTACTATGACTATGAGCGCATGCTATAATTGGATGTCATTTGCTCTATCAATTTATCTTTAGAAGCTTCTAAATATAATTTAAGTGCTTCATTTGAACTTACTAGGAGTCAGATCTAATATTTGTAATGCCAATAGGTTTGTCTCAACGAGATGTTTAGTTCGACTATTAGTTTGCTAAAATCAGAATTCAGATGATACTTAATTTAATTTTAAAAACTCTCAATTTAAATATTACCTCTTATATATATATATATATATATAGAAGAGGAGAAGAAGGGAGGACATGAAATAAAATTTAACTCAACATTTCTTAGATTAATTTCTATCTTAATTTTTTTTCTCAATTTTACAATATACATTTGATAATTTTTCTTCCCCTTTTAGTAATCTTATTATGTGATCTACTGCGTAGATGAAGCTGACTTAAGAAACGGATTCCTTGACGCTGAAGTTGATTGGATCCCGGGACTGAAGAAAGGCATGCAACTCAAGTACTTCCCCACCTTCATTCGCACAACTGATCCCGACGACAAGATGCTCAACCACATTCTGTACGTTACAAGCAGAGCTTCCATGGCCTCAGCTATCGTGCTCAACACCTTCGAAATCCTCGAGGCCCCTGTCCTCGTCGCACTACAGAAGCTCCTCCCGTCCGTCTACGCCATCGGCCCACTATCGCTCCTCGGCCGACGCCTGATACCAAGCGACAGCCCACTTGCCGCCATCAGCACAAGCCTGTGGAAGGAGGACGCAACATGGCTAGACTGGCTCGACGGCAGGGAGCCTCAGTCGGTCGTCTACGTCAATTTTGGAAGCATAACTGTTATGAGCAAGGAGCAGCTCGTGGAGTTCGCATGGGGCCTCGCCAATAGCGGCTTTAACTTTTTATGGGTGGTCCGGCCGGACCTCTTGAAGGGAGAATCCGCCGTGCTGCCGCCAGAGTTCTTGGAAGAGATTAAAGAGAGAGGGATGATGACGAGCTGGTGCGCGCAGGAGGAGTTGCTCCGCCACTCGGCAGTGGGTGTCTTCTTAACACACTCGGGCTGGAATTCGACATTGGAGAGCTTGATTGCTGGCGTGCCGATGATATGCTGGCCGTTCTTCGCGGAGCAGCAGACTAATTGCTTTTATTCATGCACGGATTGGGGTGTGGGGATGGAGATTGACAATCGTGTGAGGAGGGTGGAGGTGGAGGGATTGATAAGGGAGATGATGGCGGGGGAGAAGGGGAGGGTGATGAGAAAGAAGGCTTTGGAATGGAAGGAGAGTGCAGCCAAGGCAATTAGTCCGATGGGGAGCTCTTCAGTCAATGTGGAGAAGATGAAGGAGGTGCTTTGTTCGAGCAATCATTGAAGCCATAGTTGCCTATGTACGAGCTCTTGTGATCCAATATTGTTGATTATTGAAAGCGCTGGGATATCCTTTCACTAGTTGTATCTGCACGAGAAAATTGCTTGAATTGATAAATATTGCATTTGGCGTTTCCTGCTGTCAAGGAAATGTTTGAGTCTATGTCTGAGTTTTCTTTGAAGGAAAGCGAAAGGCTTATAGAAATTTCGAAATAGACATCATTGCTGATTTAAGTTTTGTCATTTTTTTATCACTTCTAAAAGTAACTTTTTTAATAAAAAAAATTAATTTTTATACAAACGAAATCTACCCACCGCTGCTTGTCCGGATGGTGAAGAGCCTGCTGGGTAAAGCTCAAGTCCCTAGTTCGAATTCCTTGGCAAACAGTGAAAGCCTTAAGTGTTGGCTCGTATAAATTAATGTGGGTTGCATGCTAGGCTGATCGGGATTTTCACTGGCCTAAGGAGTGCTTCCTCGTCATTAAAAAAAAAAATGAAGTCTTAATTGGCAACAATTCGTCCCACTAAATTAGTATAGCTGTTTGGTCGTTGCAGGCCGAGAGGGCTGTTGGAGAAATTAAAAGATATAGAGAGAGAGAAGACAAAGAACTTTTTAATGTAAGAAATAAAGTGCAGGAAATATGTCTTTCAGTTTTTTTTAACAGATGGTTTTTTATAAACTTTCCAGTTCATTGGTAAAATAATATAACGGTTTCAAATCTAGCATGCAACAAGAGAAAAGATTTCATAGAAATCAATATAATTTTTTTTTGCACAACCTTTGACATCAAGCCTTGATTTTTATCTTTTTATATTTCTAATTGAAGTGTACTTCACCTTATAAATTCATTTCAGCCTAATTGAAACTTTTCCTTGTGGCATATCAACAAGCTGCCAAGTGTCATTCTCTCAATACCTTAAATATCCTCTTTTTTGCCTATTTTCATTCTTGTTTTCTACGAACATCTTCATAACATAATTATTTTTCATATGAAAAAGACTTTTTAGATTGCTTTCCCATAACACAATTTCACAGATTTCATTATAGTTTATTTTAGATACACCATAAATCAGATTCTTTTGATACAATAGTTTTAAGCATTCCATATAGAATATGATGTAATAAATTTGATATTTAATTTCTTTACTGCTTAGTTTTCTTATCTTTAATGTTACAAGCTTATCAAATTATATGTAAGTTTTGGACCATGTAGAATATGATATAATAAATTTAAATTGCCAGCATTTGTTCCAACAACAGTGGTCCCCTCGCCGTCAATTAGGGCAACATTATTACTATTGATATGTCGCCAAAAATCATCTTGATTGCTCATGAATCTCATTAGTTGCTACTTGCTGCCTAAAATTGAGCAAATTAAATTTGTGATCAAATTAATAATTAAATCACTATTTGATTTATATGACTTACAGTTAATTTAATTTTATATGAAATTAAATATTATATAGAGACCAAGTATTATATTTTATTTTAAAGATGAGCATAAATAAAATAAATATAATTAAAATATAAATTATATTGTGGTCCCCAATTTAAGCAGTAAGCTTTTATTTTTCGCATTTCTCATCTTCAGTGAAAAGTGTTACAACACTACAAACAGATGGAATTTTAGCCACCATCAAATAGTTATACAACATTGTTGCGGGCTAAAATATATTTGGCGATAGAGTTATAATCGTATGTCTTAGCGTTGTACGGATATCCAACTCACACACAGAGAATACAAGATTTTTTATGTGAAAAATCCTGGAAAGAGGAAAAAACACGGGGCCTAGCCCAGTTAAAAATGATTCAACTAGAATTCGAGCAGATTACAGTAGGCTTACTTGTCCTAAAGGGTGATCAGAATATAAATGCCAATCGTATGGTTGAAATCTAGAGTGGCATGGCCCGTAAATAGGAGGAGGATCAAGGCTAAATGGGCGGTGGTTTGGATGGATGGTCGATATTGAATCCCTTGATCGTGGACCATTCGCTAGACATTTGAAGGTTTTAATGATGTTGGAATTCCGTGACCTTAGGCTCGGTGGATTCGTCTTGTTGAGCCGCTCAATTTGACTATAAGGATGTCACGTTTGGAAACCGTTTGGTAATCCAAATTGTGGTTCAAACCTTCCAATAGTGCTTTGGGCCCTTGATTTGGACCCATTTGGGCTCGGATTGAGTTGAATTTGATGTCGTTAAGTTTGTATTTTCGAGACGTTCTGTTCAACTATAAGTTTGCTGAAATCGGAGTTCGCATGGTCCCAATTTTAATTTTAGAAGTTTCCAACTTGATTTTTCCTTGAGATTTGTGCCCAATCAAGATAATTTTTTGAGGATGTATCAACGTATATTAAAAAGGATAATTTTCAAACGATTTGTATAAAAATGATTGTAAAATGACCTTAAAATATAACGACTCTAATAAAAATTACATAAATTTCTCTTAATTATAACTTTTTTATGAACATATATTTGATCTTTTTATATTAATTACTGAATAAAAAATTTAAAGTCAATTCTGATTCCAAACCTTGCTAAAATAATTTTAGACTATTTTTGAAATAGTTACCCCCAACAACACCAACAATGAGATGCATCCAGCCTTACCCCATTGGAGTGAGAGGCATCATAATATATATATATGCCGTCAATTTATTTAAAGTCATTAAATTAAAACACCATGAACCGGCGTGGTTGATTACTTTCCTCATAAAGTGACTAATCAAAATATATTTTTAATAACAAATTAATAAATGTGGTAGAGGAAATGATGATAAACCTGATCAACAACTCATAGTTCCGTCATCCCAGATTATCACGTTTGCTAGTATACTAAGTCAGAAGAGATAGCTAGTCGACCTAATGTAACCGAAAGATTTTTCTCGACAGCCATAAGTTGCTTCATACAAAGGTAGCTTGTAGTCTTGGATTGAATGTTTATCTAAGAGACGAAATCAAGCCAACCTTAGCTAATAATTAGGACTAAGCTTGACCGGCTTAATCCACGAAGGTGACCGGAAGGTTTATAATGACATACGTCATTAATAAGCTGACCATTCGGAGGACTAATTGGTTGCGCAGAACAAAATTGATTGATGAAGGAGAAGGAATCCTGTGGCCACACGTGCTCTCTCATTCGGCTCAAGGGTTGTCATCCAGTTGTTTCCAATGTCTATATAAGTCAAAATTGATTGAGATTGGGCCAGTTACCACAGCCTCTCAATTTCCTTCTCATTCGTTCTTTTTATTCTTTTGCTTTCTGCTCAATTATGCAACTCAGAAATCGCTCATTGACAGCCGTGCTTTAAAATGTGTCCCAATCGCAACTTGCCACCTATGTTTTTTCTTATATTGAGCAATTTCTTCTTAGATTTTTTTTTTTTTTTTTTTTTTTTTTTTGCAATGTAGAAGATTGTATATTCATATAGGTAAGTCAAGAACGGCTCAAAGAGATAAGATTTTTTATGAAAACTCGAAAAAGAGAAAATTATGATGCCTAGCACAGTTAAGTTATACCACTAATATATATGTAATTTTACAAATAGTATCATTTCTCCTAATTGGAGAAGATATTGCATAAGTAAAATATAGTAGATATGGACTATGGAGAACGGCTTTCATAGTGAATGTTGGAGGTGCTTTGAGGTGTTGAAGTTATCTTCAAGTGATTAATTGTTTGTAGTTAGTGGCATAATCGTTTGTTATCCTTATAAGAGGGGAGGCCAAAAATAAAGATGGAAAGAATTATAGCATAAGCCTCACTGTTGCATTGGAGTTGATTTCAATGACATGCATCAACCCTATTGGCAATGACATGGATTGAAGTTATTAATTGTCAAAGGCATGCTTCAACCTTGCATGCAATAACATGTAGAGATTGTTGGTGGCGATGGGTAATAAGTCAGCGGGTATTGACACTGGTGTCAATTGCATGCATCAGCCTTGTTGCTGATGGCTTGTATCAACATTATTGACAATGACGTGCGATAAAGTTGATGGCTATCAATGTTGGTGTTGACGGCATGTATGGTTCTTATTGGTGATGGCAAGCATCAACATTATTGATGATGATGGGCGATAAAGCTAATGGAGATTGAAATTGATGCTGCTAGTGTGCCTGAATCTTATAAGCAATAAAATTTATTGATATTGTCAATAACTACAGGTAATAAAGTTGGTGGGTATCGATGTTGATGTCGACAACATGCATCAACCTTATTTATTGATAATGACGAGCAACAAAGTTAGTGGACGTCAACATTTATGTTAACAACATGCAAAACCTCAAGCAATTGCGTTTATTGATATTATTGATAATGACGTGCAACAAAGTTGGTTAGTATCAGAGTTAGTGTCGACTTCGTGCATCAACCTTATTGACAGTAATGTATGTTGACGTTATTGATGTTTGTGGGTGACAAAATTGATGGGCATCATTATTCTCATTGATGAAATTGGCGATGTAGCCTGATAAAATTAATGAGAATTTATGTGGCTATTGATGATATGTATCAACCTTATTTGTGATGACACACATTTGCGTTATTAGCAAAACGAGTGACAAAGTAGGTGAGCATCAATACTGGAGTTAATTAATGACACGATTATGTCTTATTAATGATGCATGATAATTGGCGATAAGTCAGATTAACATTAGCATTAGTGTTGATGACATACACTAATTTTTTAGTTGATGACGTGTATCGATGTTATTGGTAATAATGTGTGATAAAGTTAGCGGGCATAGACATTAGCATTGATGTCATGCATCAGAAGATAAAGTTGGGTGATTGTATTCGGTCGACTATCATAGGCTGATAGTAATTAGGTGATAATGATTGATCGAGTGATTGTTACTTGTTAGCTATAACTAGGAGACAATAGTCTGATAATGCTCTCAACATTAATTATTAGATTGGTCTCTCTCTCTCTCTCTCTCTCTCTCTCTCTCTCTCTCTCTCTCTTCCAGACTCCCATTTCACAACCCTTTCATATGGGAATAAAGTCTATTTATAGCTTTATATAGCTTTATACTCCATAGATCACTTCTCATTGCAGAACATCAACTTTTAGACTTATATGCAACTCTTTGGTACAATTTTTTGGGAACAATTTCCAGGATAAATTAATGGAATTACACTAATATCAATTCTTAGAAA